CTCACTCACTCACTCACACTCTCACTCACTCACTCACACACACACGCACACACACACACACCCGTGCTTGTCTTTGGCTCTCCACCACAGCTGGTGTTGTTTGTGGAGGATGATGTACGTCTCTCCATGATGAAGCGTCAGGTCTGAACTCTCTCTGGCCGTGAAGTCGTACATGGCCACCACCTTCGTCACACCGCTATCATCATCCTCAGGAGGAGACGGAGGAAGCTTCTTCTGAGACAGTTGAGTCTGAGACATGAGGAGAGAACCATTACAGGAGCACAGAATGAACGAGTGAATCACTGAACGAATGAACAGATGACTGTATACCGTGTAGACGGAGCCCGGATATCTGCTGGGGTTCACATCCACATGAGTGCTGCTTCTGAGAGACAGAGATCACGGCTCGTTACGGCTCGGCTAGGGGCTTAATTTCTGTCTTATTCATTTTTGTACTGTGCTAGGTTTTGAACTTACTGTACGTTTAACAGTTCTGAAAACAGTGTGTAAACATGTGCAAATTGGCTTGTGTAGTACATAAAGTTTTGGTGCTGTTTGTGTCAAAGTGAGAAAAGAGTTCATGTAATGTGACAGATGTCGTCAATGAATGCATTTTGCTCCAACGCAATGATAAATGATCCACAGTTTAGCCCACAGAGACTGATGCTGTGCTCGCAGTGTGAAGAGTTTAGAAAAAGTGACCTAAGTATTAAGAAATGTGTCCTAGAGATTGTAAAAACTGTATTTCAGACAGGCAGGAAAACAAAGCGTGCGAAGGACATATGAAGGAACATCCTCAGCTGTTCCAGCGACTGTTTCATTCTAACGGTGTTTTGACCTTTGACCTCTGGTTCCATACATGCGGACCGGTTTTCGACCGCTTCACACATCACAGCGCATCGTACCTGGTCTGTAGAGCACAGCAGCAGCAGCAGAAGATGGAGTGAATGGACTGATCTGGAGGAGAGAGACACAGACGATGAGCTGCAGAAACACAGATGGAGGACGACCGTCTGCTCACAAAACCAGCAAAACACCTGCTTCAGAGGATCCTCTAAATCTTTACTTCGTCTTTTCACTCGTCTCGGCTGTATTTTGTAGTTTAACATCATTGCTTTTATGTAATTCATACCATAGCCTACAGGATTCAGAAGCACTGACAGAACATTAGCGTAGGATCAATCATGTAACAACATCCAAAACTAAACTAGACTTTACAGAATCCTCTTTAGCCAAAGTCAAAGCAACGTCAAACGTGCTACCAAATCCTAAAACATCGCCACATAAAACGTGCAAATTCATCACAGAAACACAAGATCTTCAGCATCTTGTGAGAGCTGAATGTTTCTCTAGAAGGGTGTGAAGTGGCTTCAGCTGCAGAATGACCAGCTGCACAAACCACAGGCTTCCTGAAGAGATGATCAGCGAGCCTCGGACCAGCAAACAGCAGAGAACACACGCACTCATACAGTGACTACTCTCTCAGACACAAAGCGCTCACTGCTGTGGTTCTCTGTCTAAAGAAACTGATATGCACACTTTAGGTACAAATATGTAGCTTTAAGGTACTAAAATGCTCCCTTTTGGGTTAAATAAGGTGTACTTTTTGGAAGGATGACAGCTTTTGTACCTACTTTTCTGATTGTAGGAATGTTTGGATGGAAAACATTGTTTTTCATGCACTGGTCAGTTTTGCGATTTTGGGCTTTTTGGCTTTTGAAAGTTGTTTTTCAGATTAGAGGATAGAAAACATAAAAATACACTTTGAAGTCTTTATTTTCTTGCACTTTATCTGTTTGCGTCTGTAGATTTCAATCATTAAAGAGTTTTTTCTCTCACAAACACCACACTTTACAGTTTTATTCCTCTCTATATTCTGAAGGTTTGTTCATATTTCATTCACACTGATTTATACAACCTTTTACTCCTGAAAACATGGTGAAAGTGTGTCTGTTTTCTGTCTGTTGACAGTATTTTCTGATTTATGGAGTGATAAAAAGAGAAATCCAGAATCCTCTCTGGAAACACCTTTAACTTTAATATGACGACAAAATCAAACTAGAATTTTGAGCCTGACTTTATCCAATGTTCAGATTTATATTCTG